AAAAAAAAAAAAAAAAAAAAAAATACCAATCTACGATAATTTTTTGCTTGTGATCGATAAAAGATAATTCGAATCGGTCGTTAAATCTGTCGATAATAAGGATGCAATGCAAATGTGTGTGCGTGTGTGTGTGTGTGTGTGTGTATGGTTGCCATTGCGGTTTGTTCACGACGCTCGCGACGATGCTTCTTGTCTCTGTGACGTGATTACAAAAGGAAGGATGGAGAATGAATTAAGAATTGTGGTGAAATGGAGCGGAAAAGAGTACGATATTCTCGATATTCAGGAGGATGATACTGTTTTTACCCTGAAGGAACGTATACACAGAGAAACGGGCGTTCGACCTGAACGCCAGAAGCTGTTAAATCTCAAATTCAAAGGTTATGTTTTGAATTGTTATCGATGGAATTTTTGCTCATTAAATAATTTATCACCTTCTGTAATTGTTAGTGATACATTCGTTTAATCGTTTCCCTAAGATCTAGCCAAATAGTATTTAATTTGTTTAGTTTGAAAAGTTAAATTATATATACTACAATTGAACGCATCACACTGCGTGCCTGGCACATGATTAGAACGGTTATATGTTTTCAAAAGTTTTTTCTTTTATGTGTAATTTATGTGAATTTATTAAATAATTCCCTTTTACACATAACTTTTGTTAATATTTTCATTAAAACAAAGTTTACAAAAACTTTGTTATTAGGCAAAGCAGCGCAAGATGAGGATGTTATCAGCAAACTGAATTTGAAGCCTGGCTTCAAGTTGATGTTGATGGGCTCGCGCGAAGAGGATATTGCTGAGGCTAGTCAAGCTCCAGAAGATGTACCTGATGTAATTAATGATCTAGATATAGAGGAGGAAGAAGTGGAAATAGAGAAAGCTGAGATAAATCTACGTAAGATCCAGTTTCGAATCGATCGCTATGTGATCACAGAGCTGAATCCTCTCAGAGAGGGTAAGAAACTCCTTGTGTTGGATATAGACTACACTCTGTTTGATCACAGATCAGTAGCAGAGAGCGGATATCAACTGATGCGTCCGTATCTCCACGAATTCTTGACACGTGCATATAAGAATTACGACATAGTCATCTGGTCGGCAACCAGCATGAGGTGGATCAATGAAAAGATGAAATTGTTAGGAGTTTCTAAACATCCGGACTACAAGATAGCTTTTTATTTAGACGTTCTCGCTATGATCACCGTTCACACGCCGAAATACGGCGTTGTGGGAGTGAAACCACTGGGCATTATTTGGGGAAAGTACAAGCAGTTTTCCGCGAAAAACACGATAATGTTCGACGACATCAGGAGAAACTTCATAATGAATCCGCAGTCGGGATTGAGAATAAAACCTTTCAAACATGCTCACACCAGCAGAGTCAAAGACTTTGAGTTGTTGAAGCTGTCGAGATATTTAGAATTGATAGCCGATGTCGATGACTTTCAAACTCTTAATCACAGAAAATGGGAGGAATATAAGCCCAAGAAAAGTAACCAGATAAGTAATGAACAAACCAGCAATGAAAATGAAAATAGTTAAATACATATACAAGGCTTATATTTCTTCCTAATACATTGTTCTTGATAAAAGTACATAAAAGAGCTACTGAGATCTCTTTTCGCTGCAGAGAGACTGTGCAATGTTATCTAATGATGTATATAACGAGATAAAAACTATATAAAAGAGCGCATTTGTCAGCTATTTTAACAAGGTATTGAGAAATTTTAAAAAATGATTTATCTAATATTCCAGGTGAGAGCAACGCGGTTGAAAACTAATCGATAGTTCAAAGAAATTTTCTAGTTGTCTCCAATTGATAATAATATATTGAAATTTATGAAAAAATATACATATTTTCACATGCCTTTGTATTTGTGTGATGTATCTGTCGGTTGTATTATATTTTAAACATGCGTTTATAAATTATGCATAATAAGAATAATCAAGTACAAGTACGTGAATGTTACATATTATAAAGCATTGCATACATTCTTTGTGTGTGTGTGCGTGTACGTGCGCGCGCGTGTGTGTAAAATATAACGCGTTATATATTTTATATGTACATATATATATATACAGGGTGTCCATAAAATTTTGACAGCCGAAGTATGGAGATAAATTGAGTCAAACTGAATAGAAAAGTTATTTGCCATTTTGCAAAATTCGCAATAGTTAATGAGATACAAAGTAATAATTGTGTGTCAATAAGCGCGTGAGAAGCGATGGTCCTGACTCTGTAGGCGCGTGTGATTATCAGCTGATCGCGGAAAGCAGTGGCTTCTTATCCCTCGAGCGCTGCTCGCTCTTTTGCGTATCGCTGAATATCGGCTGATCGCGAAATCAGCCGAGTCATACGCCGCGCTCGTTTGTTCACTCCGCCTCTCGTTGCTCTGACAGTCACACACCTACGCCTACAGAGTCAGGACCATCGCTTCTCACGCGCTCATTGGCACACATTTATTACTTTGTATTAACTATTGCGAATTTTGCAAAATGGCAAATAATTTTTCTATTCAGTTTGACTCAATCTCCATACTTTGGCTGTGTCAAAATTTTACGGACACTCGGTATGTACATAGATACACACACACACACACACACACACACACACACACACACATATATATATATATATATATATCCAGCAAACATTTTGGTTACAAAACCATATCCATCTGTGTCCTCAGTAGGATATGTGTTGGTAACCATGTCTGTCAAAACATGTGAAATGTCAAAATGCAACCGAAATGATGACAGAATCTGCCACAAACAAAATCTGGAATAGGTTTGGTCATCGTCTGTTGGCGCCAAATTGCAAACAGTCCGCACGTATACACGAACAGACCTGCTTGGCGTTTGGTGGTAATCTGTCGTCAATGCGTTTAACACGTTCGTCGCCGCGTCACCCAGATCTGGGTGACGGGTATACTTCCGAAACTCAGCCGAATCGCGCTGGGCGACGAACGTGTTAACAGATCGACCCGACTTTTGTCGTAAACAAATCTCTGGTACGGTTTTGCGGACTGTTCGGTCACAGTATTGTTAAAAGCAGATCTGCTTGCAATCGACCATCTATTTGTTATCAATTTCACTGACATATATGAAATCGTTTTGACCCCCCAATACTCTCATGTATTTATCAACAGAGTTGTTGCGTTTTTTCTTTTTGTGTGCTAACAGTTTTGGCAGTGTTTCCGTATTGTAGCATTTCTGCAAACAGTTTCTGTTGCCAAGGTCTGCGCCGAAATTGTCAAGAACAGAAATTGTTTGCTGGGTATATATACATACAGTAGCGGACAAAAATTTAAGACGATGAATTGTAATTTAGATTATAAACATGTTACATGAATATTTTTGTTTTATTTGGGTTGTGATTTTGGAATAATCCAACTGTATGTTTGACTTTCTTGATTTCGAAGCGTCGGTTATCAAATGTAAATAATATTGAAGTTTCAGCAGTTAGTTTCCTGTGAACGTTTGTAAACAGCGGACATAAGTTTAAGACGATCAGTCTCAAAAGTGATTTTAATGAAATTCTTTGAATATTTTGATTCAAAAATTTCAAAATCANGGTTTAGTTTATTTTTCGTCGCTTAAAACTTATCTACGCAACAGCAAAGTATGAGTAAATCGAGGAATTTACTAGAGAACGAAAAGGAACAAGTTGTAAGGCTACGAAAGCAAAATAAGACATTTGCCGAAATAGCACATTTAATAAATAAATCAGAAACTGCTTGTAAGCAAGCATGGTACAAATTTCTAAACTAAACCCTGATTTTGAAATTTTTGAATCAAAATATTCAAAGAATTTCATTAAAATCACTTTTGAGACTGATCGTCTTAAACTTATGTCCGCTGTTTACAAACGTTCACAGGAAACTAACTGCTGAAACTTCAATATTATTTATATTTGATAACCGACGCTTCGAAATCAAGAAGGTCAAACATACAGTTGGATTATTCCAAAATCACAACCCAAATAAAACAAAAATATTCATGTAACATGTTTATAATCTACATTACAATTCATCGTCTTAAATTTTTGTCCGCTACTGTATATATATATATCGCGAGTTTACTTGCTTTTTTAAGCAAGATGGCGAGTTTTAATTCTTTACATCTAAATAGATATAATGCGTGGTTTACTCTAACGTTAACGCGTAATATGCTCCGCGGCGATTATTCAATTATCATGATATCTAGCTATTTAAAAGCTTATTACACGTTAGCATCGATGGACTTAATTATTATTAAAAATTTCTTCTTAACATTTTACTATAAAGCTGTTTACATTTTTCATATAAAACTTCAAAATATTATAAAAATCAACAGTAAGATAACGTGTTATATATGTGTATGTATATATGTGTGTATATATATATATACACACATATACATAGTGATTGTATAATAAAACTTATTAAAATAAGGACTTTATTTAATAGATCGATTTCTTGTCTGGTTTCCTCAAAATTTTTAGATATCGTCTGCACACACTATAAAATGTATATTTACAATCAAAACTGTATTTGCAGATCAAAACTTATTCTACTTATTTGCTTTATTAACAGATTTATTTATTCTATCCACTCATTCTATGTTGTTTACTTTATAACAGATTTACGTGTACTTTAATTTTTTTATAATGTTTATTATATAAAAGATATATATTTAAAATTATTAAAAACTGACAAATTATGATTTTCTTTAAAACATAAAACTGAGATTTTGAAATGTTTCTTTTACAAATTTACATTTTTCGAGAGCAATTGGTTGCTTCATATGGCTCGATAAGAAACAGAATTGATTCATGTCGCACTTGTCGTTTCCCATCCCGAAAAGCAAAATTGGTTGAGTGAATGTGTGTTAGTCATGAACGACTGATGAGCAATATGGCGAGCGCTTGGTGGTAGGCGGATATTTGTGTCCGACGTGGAAACGTCAAACTGTTAACTATCAAAACTGGCGAGGAAGCAGAATGGAGCTGTTTCGCACTGACACTCATTTTATCTTTGTGAAGGAGCGGCATAGCCTCTGGTGTGACAAGTATACTGGCGAATTCGCTGCAAAATCGGGTAAGTTTTCCGTATAATTGCGTTTGACATACGAGTGCATACGAAGCGTCTCTTGTCAAACACAATTACGATGTCGCGTGAGCTTTCGAATCTATTTTTTATTTAAAGCGGACGGAATATGTTTGTGCGGATTATATATGTAACATGAAGATATATAATCAGAAATAGATTAATTGTTCTAATATCCTGATAAAAAAATTATTCATAATTAACATTAATAATTAATAATTAAAAAAATATTGTATCATAAAATATATTAGATTATTTTCAATATTCATAATATTGTGATGGCTTTATCAAAACCAAAAGAATTTTACAGATTGGGAATGGGCCACGCCAAAAGATTTGGAATGTCTGGGAATGTTTTACGGTATAGTGGGAAAGATTGAGCAAGCATCAGTGCTGGAGCCTCGCCTGATGCTTATAAAGGATGTCACACCAGCAGGAGAATTGCACGGTGGTCATGTTGTCTACAAAATCAAATCTATAGCATTTTTACACATCGGTACTGAGAACACAGATGTTGGCCTGTTACCTTGCAAGAAGCATCAGTATGTGCTAAAGAAAAAGGGAAACGGCGGCTTGTTTGATGTGCCGCAGAAAGCAGCTCTAGCAAAAACTTGGGGTACAATAAAAAACGCCACGAATACTATAAAAAATACTACTCAGCAAGCAGCTGCGTTAGCTACGTCTCAAGTAAGACGTCTACATCAATGGCAACATATGTTGATTTGTTTGAGATATCTTGTGTGATTGAAAACTTCAATATTCCTCCTGATTCGCAGGTAAAATCTACAGTAACAAAACGTAGCATAGTGAAGGACAAGGAAAGATTCGAAAAGAGAATATTAGAAGAATTGAACAAGATATTTACGGAAACTGATTCTTTCTTCTTTTGCCAAACTGGTGACATCACCAACAGCTTGCAACGACAATGTATAGTGGAGTCTCAGCAAAATCAAAGCGATCAAGATAAGCCGTTGTGGCAGCGCGTAGATGACAGATTCTTTTGGAATAAGCACATGTTACATGACATCATCAATTTGAATGTTAGTAGCTGTTAAAAAATCTGTATTTTTACTCACAGGTGACTTTATAAAGAAACATATAAATACTCTTTTTGAACAATAGCACAAAACTTGTTATATGAAACATATATTTTTATAAATTGAGTTAAAGGGCCGATACGAGCAGTAAATACAAGTTGGTCGTGTATGAGATACAGTCTTATATATTTTTATATTAATTTAATATATTTCTACTTACATCTATACTTATATAATAACTTTCAAGTATAACTATCGTCCTGAAATCAACTGTATGTGCAATAACAACAATCAGTTATTGTTTTGCGTTATCAGTTACAATTTTTCTTATCTAAACTATCACCTGTAGACAGATAAAGCAAACTGTTGGATATTACCGATCATTCAAGGCTACGTTCAAATAGAAAAATGTATAGTTGAAGTGGGCTTTGACGAGCAACCACAGCAAGAAACTTTTAATTTGGCAATTATATCGAGAAGGAGTAGATTCCGAGCTGGAACCAGGTAATCTTTGTCTATGTATATAGTTTTGGTTTACCAATTTCATCCTGCTCTGATTACGTTAAAGCACATTGTGATTAACTACATCTAAATGTAATGTCATACAGGTACAAAAGACGCGGAGTAGACGATAACGGCAAGTGTGCGAATTATGTTGAAACTGAACAGCTAGTTTGGTATCACGATCATCAAGTGTCCTTTGTACAAGTACGAGGAAGTGTTCCAGTGTATTGGTCGCAACCGGGATACAAATATAAACCACCACCAAGAATCGACAAAGGTATACATGCAAAAGAGAAATCATTTATGTACTTCGCAAGCAGAACACAAATAATTACATCTGATACTCTTCGATTGTTACACAGACGAGGTTGAAACGCAAGTGGCATTTGAGAAGCATTTTGGCGAAGAGCTTGCATTGTACGGTCCTATTTGTATCGTGAATCTGGTCGAGCAATCCGGCAAAGAAAAGATAATTTGGGAAGCTTACAGCAACCATGTGTTTAACTATAATCATGCGGATATAATGTATACCACCTTTGACTTTCACGAGTATTGGTAAGTACTTCGAGCGAGATCATCTTTATCATGCTTTTTATCATTGTTGCGTGATTATGTTACATCTTGAAACATTTTTCTGCCCTAACGCAGTCGGGGAATGCATTTCGAAAACGTGTCTATTTTGGTTAATGCACTGGCTACCGTGCTAGCAGATATGGGTTACTGCTGGCGCGATAAACAAGGTACGATTTGCACGCAAAAGGGCGTATTCCGCGTTAATTGCATAGATTGCTTAGATAGAACAAACGTGGTGCAAACTGCTCTGGGTAAAGCTGTTATGGAAATGCAGTTCTCAAAACTAGGACTAATACCGCCCGATGGAACTCTGCCTGCAAACATTAGACAGACTTTCCAATCGCTTTGGGCTAATAATGGGGATATTATTAGCAAGCAATATGCAGGAACGAACGCTTTGAAGGTCCGTACATGTCAAATTGTCTGTGAAAAGTGTGTCTTATCAGACTTCGTACCTCGATTGCGATTACACGATTTATTATCATTTACAGGGAGATTACACGCGTACCGGAGAGAGAAAGTTTACCGGGCTGATGAAAGATGGCATGAATTCTGCAAACAGGTAGGAAACTACGTTTATATTATCCTTCTCCTTTATTTTACATATCCGCTTGATCTCCCTCATTGTTTTTATTCATTTTCTATTTTCATCTTCAACATCTTGCGCAACACACAAAGAGTCAGACTTCATCACGCGTGGAAGAATAATATCTTGAAGTTAGATATTTGAAAAAGAGTTTTTTTGCTCTATAGCAGCCTGACATTGGCCTTTCTCGTTTTCCCATAGATATTATCAGCAACACTTTATGGACGACTTACGTCAGTCGGCAATAGACACGCTGCTAGGAAACCCAATCGACGTTGATCAACTGAACAACGATTGGTCACACTATTTAGATATCTTTGATAATTGCTGTCTCGAACTTATACCTATGAAACCACCAAATGTACAACTTCAAATCGCTACTCTTCCCGACTTCCTTTATGCCACTGCTCTCTATAATTTATTAAGGTTCGTTGCTTGCTTTTAACTTTTCTCTTTCAGCAACGCGCAGAAGAAATATGTGTTCCAAAATTAACTCAATTGTTCTTACACATTAAATTATGCGGCATAATAAAATATCGCTAGCATGAAAAGCTGTTTTTGTTTCAAAAATTATTTTGCATGTTCAACTTTGTAACCTGATATTTTCCCTTATTTTGTTTTAAGAATTCAGTTTGATTTACAGACCAATCATCTTTATAAAAAAAGTTGCTTTCTTTGAACAATTTCTTTTATATATATGTATAAAATATAATTTATCTTATAAACTTTGAATGAGATACTCTTTTTTTTTACTGTCTAAGTCTTTCTAAGTCATTCTTCAAATTTTGTCACTTGTGTGCGGAATTAAAATTGTATGCAACTGTTTCTTTTGCAGATATTATTTGAATCGCTTCAAGGATGTCTACAGACAAGCGACAATTGATATGATGTTGGGAAATTCAGTGAGCGAGGAAGTATTTCTAGAACGCACGGAAGAGGAAGATAACGCGGCGACTGCGATTCACGTGAAATTACTAATCGAAGACTGTAAAAAACTATTGATACCTGATCCCGAAATTATTCTAGGCAGTTGGGGAGTTATCGATGCCGATCCTGTGTACGTACAAGCAAATATATTTGAAAAACTGAATATCACTTTTAATTGACTGAATTTTATAATGAAAATATTTTTTTTTTATTAGAAATATATAAACGGTAATAAGAGCCATTCGTTGGATGTTGTGCGGAAATATGTGTGTATAAAATTAGGGTAGTATACGGGGTCTCTCATATATGTGATGCAAATATTGCATCCTATATGAATTTAAGAATTGAAATTTTTATTCAAAAACTCACGTGTAAGATTTACACATGAATACATATATATATACACACATATTTCCGCACATCACCCAACGGCTATTATTACCGTTTATATATTTCTAGTTTAAAGTTCAGAACCTAAAGATTCTCTAATTGTTTCTTTTATTATAAAAGTGTTTTGTTTTTTTTTGTAATTATACAATTTATATAATACACATGTTTACACATGTGTATGTAAACCAAAGTTTTTGTTTTATAGTACGGGTGATCCTACGGAAACGGAAATGGACACTATCTTGATACTGACGCGTGACAGTTATTACGTGGCGGATTACGACGATCAGATTGACAAAGTTACAAACTACCAAAGAGTTTCATTACATGACATCGTTCTGATTGAATTTGGTCAGCCCGAAAACACTGTCTCGTTCTTCAAGAATAAGCATTACCATTGTATTAGAATTAATTACAAAGTGAACGGCGAGTGTGGCTACTTTCACATGTTTCGTAGTACAAATTTAAGATTTTTTAACAACATGGCTGTCGTGATCAAAACCGAAGAGGAAAGCATAGGTAATAAGTAGTGATAATTATTTTTTGTCACGATTTTACATGTTGATCTTACCTTGACGAATTTTATATGCATGATATGGTTTTTATATTATTAGAGTCTTTAAAAGCAATTTGCGAAGCAATTTCGATTGCTATGGAGATCGCAGGTTTGCCAAAGGTTCCCGTAGCTGTGAACGTTGCGTTAGACAAGAGAAAGAGTAAATTAGTAAATGTTAAGGGATCTACTGGGTTATTAGATATCTCATCGTTTCCGGAACTAACGAGAAACGTGTCAGAAACACAGTTGCTCGCTCTAAAAACTGCAGGTTTGTTTTAAGAGATAAGTTTAATTGTTTCTGTACTTGCATACGATATGCTCCATGTGTAACTATTTCAATAACATTGAACACTTTTAGGCACAAAAGCATTGAGCAACATGTCGGAGCAGTTCAGCAAACTGAACAAACTGAGTTTCGGCGCGAAAAAGCCGATTGACTTGTCCAAAAGCATAGAAGCAAGTAGCAAGAAAACAGAGGTGCAGTCGTCAAAGCCGATCTTTACTGTCGGTAGCAGAGACATCTCGGGCAACGAAAAAGAGAAATACAGCAGTAGCAGCAGTAGCGAGGAAAATATCGAAATATCGCGTATACACGTTGAAAAGCCCGCGAACTTCAGTCACGATAAACATCTGATGGAAGCTTATACGCCGTTGATTGGCATTATCATGGGTGTAAAGAACAGCGGCGTCGTGGACGGCGATGTTTGTGAAACCAATGTGAACGTGGAATTATCCGCGAGGCATCAAAACAGGAATCTGAATTTGAAACCTGACGTGGCTATCGACGCGCTGCATCTGATACCGCAAACTGGATCCGGCACCAGTACTCTCAGCGCTTCGCCGCAGAAAACCACCGCAACTACGCCGGAGATAACGGTATATGACATGGGAGACAATCTAAATGAAGAGAGGGAACGAATGATTCCACCGTCAACGCTTTCGCTTTCCAAGAACATCAGTCACTCGACCGGGGATGTCGACAATAAGGCATCGACTAATACAAAGAACACTCTTCAAACGGACAACAGATTGGACGAGAAAAAAAGATCGGCTTCCGAGCAGGACTTGACGTTGAACATCACATCGTCTCAAAGCGAGTCCGCCTTGAAATCCATCAAAGAGAACATCGCGAGCGTTACTAGTCCGGTAGCGTCTACAGCAAAGGATATCTTGTTGCCATTCTCGAAACTTGCTAAAGGTGTTCAAACATTAGGAGCTAATTTAGATCCTAGAAAGCTGAAGACAGTTCACGTAATGCGAAATTTGTCGGAACAGCATATGGAAGAGCGACGAAAACTTCAGGAAAGATGGGCCTCCTGTCAATCTAGACTTATTGCTTTGTAAACTTTTACTACCCGAATGACCAGCTTTCTGATCGCAATTCGTGATTAAATATCAATCTAGAGCTTTTATTAACATGTACGTAACGAGATTGAAGACGTTATGAATTCGATATCATATAGCGAGACACGAGTGCCATTATGCATTCTTAAAACAAAAAGAAAAAAACAAAGAAAAAAATAACGTATTGAAAGGTTGTATTATAGGCGGTTTTATCACATAGATCGCGTGTAGTTTAATAATATGAGAAAAATATCACGTATATAAATATATATAGACAAGTAGCATATAAATTTGATCGTGTTTTGTAGAAAATCTTTAAAAAATCTATCTCACTGCACCTATTTCGTATATTTTCACACTTCACAAATGTAGTATTATCAATGTGAAACAATCAGAACAAAACACTCGGAAAGAAACTTTAACAGAGCAGATAAGAATAACACAAAGTACAATACGGTCAATATATATTTATTAGTTAATTGGTTTGAGATGTGCAAGTTTATAAATTTCGAACAGTGTCTGTATATTGCTATTATGCGGGATCGTGCTAGCTTTTAGCACTGTTTTCTTGAACCGCGTTGTCTATGTAAATTTTACTACATATTAGCTAACAATTTTTTGGGCATATTTTTACATTTTTAATAACATTTTTCTGACATTTTTAGCGACCGTATTTAAATGCGACCAATCTGAATTAATGGTATATGAGCATTTTTTCGATGTACAATATTATGAAATTTTCTCCCAGTATCGAGATATTTTTCTTACATACGTATATTTTTTTTATTAATGTGCATACTAGTATGTTCATGTTCACTCTTTATATACAAGGTGATGAAAAAGTACCGTAACACCTGAATAAATCGGAAAATATAAGTTTTATAAAAAATGTTTCAGACAAAAGTTATAGGACTTAAAAAGATCTAATTACTGATCTTATCAGTTTGACCTTGGTGGCACTGAAAAGGTCAGGTCAAGGTCACATCAATTTTTGTTACTTATGCGATGATCTTCATCTTACTTTAATCGATTGGATGTGATCTTCATCTTGCTTTAACTCACTTTGATCTCTAAAAAAAACAACGTAACTGAACATAAAAAAGGATGTTAAAAAGTGGTCGATTTTTATTCTCGGTGTGGCATATAAACTTCAAGTGTTTTTTTATAGAATCATAATAGAACGTCATGTAATTCTACGACAAAAAATCTATAAAAAATCACTCGAATTTTACTTGCTATACCGGGGGCAAAAATCGACCACTTTTTAACATCCTTTTTTCTCGATACAGAAATAGGGATTCCCATAAAAAATCTCGACTTGACCTTTCAATGACCTTGAACATCGACCTTAAGTTCAAGGACACCACTCCTCCACGAGGTACACCTTGACTAATGCTAATGTCAGCGGTATTGTAACTTTCAACTCTTATAACTCGGAAAGTATTTAATGAAAAATAACTTTATTATAATGTTTTGAAAAGCACTTGACACCAGCTATTAGATTCTGAAATGAAAAATACAATGTTTCGTTAAAAAAAATTGATGTGACCTTTGACCAGTCCTTTTTAGTGTCACCCAAAGTCAAACTGATAAGATCAGTAAATAGATCTTTTTAAACCCTATAACTTTTGTCTGAAACATTTTTTTATAAATCTTATATTTTCCGAGTTCAGATGTTCTGGTACTTTTTCGTCACCTTGTACGAGAAAGAAAAGTAACTTACAATGCAAGTGAGATGATTTATTTGTACAGGGAAGAGAAGCTTTATAGTCAATTATGTAAATACAGTGAATGATTTAAACATAGTTTAGTAAAACATACGTACAACATATGGAAAGAGGAGTGACATTATTGATACACGAAGAGAAAAATTGTAAATTCTTAATATTTTTTCGAGAAATACGAAGTATAGGATCTTTTAAAACGTAAATAATTTTAAAGTTTTTTAAACTAAAAACGTAAGAGATAAAGAAAAACTTAAGAGCTTTTGAAATAACGTTCTTTTAAGTTATAAATTCTTATAAATTGTCTCATTAATTCTTCTAATAATTTTTATAAATGTGTTATGTATGTAGAAAACAAGTAATATAGTTTAAATACGTAGCACAACTATGTGCGTGTAATTGTAATTGTATATTTGTTTATTGTTTTGTTATAATTTTAGATGCTTTAATAGCTGTTGCAGAATCATAAAGTATTTATAGACTCAGCAAAACACATTCAGTATTATATAGAGCATGTGCTATTCACAAAACCAAGTAAATTATACGTGTGTGCAAATCAGTGATGTAGGAGGATTTAGGAGCAAATATAGCGCAAATTTCGTATTTTATATAATAGGGAGAATCTCTATAAACAAACAAGATGTTGCATTGCCTACTCTAACTGTAAATAATATTGTGTCATTAACACCACAGAATTTCAATTCCCGTCAACGTGTGCAAATGCATTGACAGAAACAAACTTAAGCTCGTATATATACTTTTAGCGAACGTTCCTTTTACCATAAATATATATAATAGTCTGTGATACAATTTTACAGAATACACACAAGTCACATACGAGAAAAGATAAAACTGATAAGACTGTGTGAATTCTGAAAGAGATTTAGCTACGCTTTAGAATAAAAATATAAAGGCTGTTTTTTTCCAAGTACTCATTATGAGATCTTAATTTTGACTTTGTTACCACAAGCTTATTTGTTTTGATATGATCAAAAAAATTATTTATTTAAATTAAAAGTTAGTGAGTTAAATTAAAAGGTGTGATTGTTACTTTTTATTTGACAAATGCAGTGTAAGGTCTAATGCAAATTTATTGTATTGAATTTGTGTGATGTGTGTTTTATCACGGTTTTTATAGTAGTTATAACTTCCCACATAGCATCGTTAGTAGCACAAACGTTTCTGCAACGGATTTTCCAAAACTTAGCAACGTTTCGTTAAACGTTTCTAAAACGTCGTAGTAACGTAGCGGAAACGTCGAAATGTCCGCTTTTTAAGTTTCGGTCCGATTTCGTTGAAACATATAAGAAACGTTGCCCGATAAGTTGCAAAGTTGTTAATGTTTAAATTTTTATAAACATTGTAAAATACAATTAATCAACCATGCAAGGTTTGCCTGCTTAACCATTCTCCAGGAAGGAGTGATTACTTAAGTAATGATTACGGAGAATGGTTGGTGAGCAGACAAAACCTGCATGATTTTAAAAATGTATTTTACAATGTTTATAAAAATTTAAACAGTAACAACTTTGCAACTTATCGGGCAACGTTTCTTATACGTTTCAACAAAATCGGACCAAAACTTAAAAAAGCGGACATTTCGACGTTTCCGCTACGTTACTACGACGTTTTAGAAACGTTTAACGAAACGTTGCTAAGTTTTGGAAAACCCGTTGCAGAAACGTTTGTGCTACTAACGATGCTACGGGGGAATTTATACAAAACACACACGCGCGCGCGTGTCTCGCAAGAAATACATGAATTAATAGAGTGATTCTATGAAGAAACAAAATTATTAATCTTTGAAATCAGTGATTGCATAATGTACATCAAAATTGTAAAAATCTTGTATCTAAATCATGCTCATAAATATATTTTTCAATCTCTTTCTTCCAAAAATATTTACGTTAAAGTTATTTTTTTCACTTATCTAATTTACTTAGTTCTTGCGGGATTTAAATCTCTTACACATCAAAAACCTCGATCGTAGAACCTGTAGAAAAGCTTGATATGACTTGTATTACCTATAAGGTTCTCGTTAAAACAAAAAATTTTGCGTACACGCCAACCACCAACCATTGAGAGCACTTCTAGAACAAATAATAAAACATATTAACTTGTGAATCGTGGAGTTGACTTTTTTTTACTTTAAACAATGCATTAAAAACACTTAATTGTTCTGATACAAAGATATATAAAGACTAAAGTCAAAATTTGATTTTTCAAAGATACTTTTCAAAGATACTGCCAGCTTTAAAATTTCAAAGTCGCAAAAAAAGTGTTTACAGACTGCAAATCGATCTAAACTCCATCAAGAACAGTAGATCTATTGCTCGCGCCAATGTCAAAATGTATAGAATCAATGTCAAAACTGTGATTTCTTGAAAATGTGCCATATTTATAACTTTCAAACGTGAAGATAAGTGTTTAAAGTTTTTTCGTCAGAATCGAAATTTAAAACTGGGTGTTTTTTTCGTAATTTCGACCCTCTTCTTGGGTGCGTTCAGATTTCTCACTCGGCGGATGAGAGTAGGGTGAACCGGGAGTGGGCGGAGCTACTAACGGGTGGTCTCGGTAGGCTCGAGAATCTGAACGCATCTGGGGACTGTGAAGGCGCCAAAGCCAATATTCAGCGACTAAGGGCCTGAGCACAATAGAGAAAATATTAGAAATAAGAATTAAAAACAGAGATTAAATGTAATGTACAATGCAAAAAATAACCCAGCAAACAATTTGGTTGCGAGATGTCGCAGTTTTGTCACCAACCGCCGGCGAAATTAGTAGACCAAATCCATATCCATCTGTGTCCTCATTAGGATATGGTTTGGCGACCATATCTGTCAAACATGTGAGATGTCAAAATGAGACCAAAATCATAACAAGTCTGCCACTAGCAAAGCAAAGCCAAAGTGACGCACCAAATCCAGCACAGATTTGGTGATCGTTTGTTGGCGCCAAAATCGCGCCAAATACTCATCATATCTGTTACCAGCACTGTTAACAAAACGGTAGCAAGTACAGACCAAATTTGTCGTCAGAAACGTCGACAGATTGCTACCAAACGCAGATCAGATCTGTCACCTAGAATCCAAGTGGAATTACTAAAAAAAAAAAAAAAAGAAAATCAGTATCGCCTATCGGAGGGAAGTTTAATTCGAGATTTCACTCGAATTAATTTCTGGAAGCCTAATTTAGCTTGTTGATCAACCGATGAACTTTATTGAAAGAGACCAAACCTGAAAAAATCCTAAAAATGTGATAGCGAGATTTGAACTCGAGACCTCCATATTCGCAGCCCCTGCACTCAGTCCGCGAGACCACTTGTGTTCCTTACTAACACATAATTATTTTTATCTACTTATTCTCAAGGTATCCTACATTTCATTTATTATTTAGTTAAATTATTATTTTACTAAAAATGTTGCAATGCAATGTACCTGCAACAATAAATTAAAATATTTTTCTTCTTATTCTTAAATATGATTTAAAGAGTACATTTTTACAACGCGAANAAATGTTTTGTTAATATATGCTGATACTTGAATAAACAAAGTGTTTTTTAATGGATTTTTGGTCACTGAAAACGAATCCGGCGGCGAAATCGACCTACCACGTCAAATTTCTGAGAAAATTAAAGTTAAATGTATAACATACTGTCTATTAGCGTGAGAAAGAGCATATCAGTGTATCTCATTCACACTAGTGGATATTGTGTTACAGTGTCGAATGTACGTAGCTGGAAAGCACCCATTGTTTCATATTACTCAATAAATACGAGAATAATACATTAAATTTATGATTGCTTTATTGCCGAATGCGTATAAATAGAAGTATTAAAATCTTGCAGTTAAACTTTACCGGTTCCGGCATAAGCTAACAGTTATTGCCCGCATAAACAAGGTCTAATTGTAAAAGACTGTTTAACGTTTGTTAACAATCTGTTATCAACACAGGCGACAGATATGATCGCAGATAATCGCCATTTTGTTGTCTAGATGTCAAACAGACAGTTTAGTAGTCTTGCGTGCAAACAGTCCGCACATATGCATGAACAGATCTGCTTAGCGTTTGGTGGTGCAATCTGTCGTCAATGCGTTCAACAGATCGACCCGACTGCGGTCAACGTTTTGTCATAAACAGATGCTCATACGGTTTTGCGGACTGTTTGGTCATAGTATTGCTAAAGCAGATCTGCTTGCTATCGACCATTTATTTGTTATCAATTTCACTAACATATATGGGCTGTGTTCCAAATTTACTGTCAGCACGCTGCCAGTGCTAAAATTGTATAATATATGTGACTTAAACTATAGATCTTTAGCGCTGGCAGTGAATTTTGAAACACAGCCATGGAATCATTTTAGCCACAATAGTCTCATGTATGTGCCAACAGAGTTGTTGCGTTTTTTGTCTCTATGTGCTAACAGTTTTGGCAGCACCAAAGCATGTTTCCGTACTGTAGCGATTCTGCACACAATTTCTGTTGCCAAGGTCTGCGCAGTCAGAAATTGTTTGCTGGGATCTCACAATACAATATTTAGCAAAGCAAAGATTTAGTAAAACAAAGAACTTGCCTGCTGAGGAATTTATTTTGACATGCACATTAAAAGACGCTAAATTTTCAGGTGTTACATCAAGATATACTGGACAATTACCTGTTAAAATAAAATAAAAATAAATTCTTTGAAAAGTGACAAAGAAAAATTCCATATGAAGAAACCATTCACCATAACCCTAATCTAATATCCTATTATGTTCCGAACATTAATAAAATCACAAACAACTTACCATCAACGTCCCATACGACCAACTTGTTCTCAATAACTGGAGAACCATTTTCCGTGACCACGAGCTTGAGATTCATTATTAAAAGTTAAGTGCTTTTTCTCATTTCAATTACAATTCGCGCACTTTTCTTGGCAGCAAAATCTACCCGCCGGCACCCTGTGTTACAAGCAGAGTGCTTTTTTCCCTCACCCAGGTGTGTTCAAATGAAATCTGAACGATACACTCGGTGGCCATTTGAGCAAGAATAGGAGGAATCTGAACAGCGTTTGGGTAGCTCGGGGCATCTGGGTAGGGAATCTGAACGCACCCCTTGATGGCTACGTTCGGGGAGCACGCTATCAGCGCTATTGCATCATTCTATCTTTGTTTTACATCTAATGAGCATTAAAGATAGAATGATGCAACCACAAAGTAAGAGTAAGGAGATCGAACCATAGACGTATAATATATAGACTGCGCATTTGGCTGAAAAGATGTCTTCAACGTTGAGAGAGACAACATACTTTGAATAGTAACTCTTTCTCTGTCTATCAATGTCTGTGGTGGGATCAGGGCCTACCGTTTCATACCACCTAACCCTTAGACAATATATACTTATAGACGCGGCTTCAGACAATTATCTTGAAGCAAAGATAATGGCTGCTTTCCTTTTAGGAGACACAGTCGACACAAGTCGACACAAGAGTCATTCTGTCTTTGTTTCTCACTGAATACTGAACAAAGACAGAATGACTTTTGTGTCGACTTGTGTCGACTGTGTCTCCTAAAAGGAAAGCAGCCAATATCATCTACATGACGTCACATGTGGACAAAGTAAAGGTGCGTTTATAGACGGCTTCAGATAACTGTCTTGAAGATAAGATAATATCATCTACGAGGCCGCGTTTAGCCGAATAATTGCTGAAATGCCCACATGTGACGTCACGTAGATGATATTATCTTTGCTTCACCTCGACTCGTGGATTTATATCTACAGGTCGTGTTTATAAGTATTGTAAGAAATCAGCAAAGCGGCGGCGCTTCTAGGGACTTTTTGATAGCGCGCCCTGCGTTGAGGTAACGACGGCGCTACTTTCCGAGCGGCGGCGATCGACACGAAAATCACATGTAACGACCATGTGAAAAACACGTGGTTGCCGAATGGCACAAGGATTCCGGAATACTCCAGAATCTTCTCTACCGGAGAATTACCGCCGGTTGCTCTTGTCTAGCGGCACTCTTGTACAGACGAGCAAACCGATCGGACGTGTAATGAGAGTCGTGCCGTTGCCGTTGTCGTTGTCGTGTCGAACGTTGCCGATGTTCTTGCCGCTAAAGTCGATTTACTGCCGGGTATTAATAAAGTACAGTTACAAAGTGTATTTCGGTGTTGTTAAATATATTCACATAATTAATAATATTGAAGATTTATTGCCGTTGATCCGAGTCTCAAATATTCCTTCCAAGGGCGCGGTCGCGCTCAAGGCTGATAAACAGAATCACTTGATATTGTCGTGTGATTCGCGTGATAGAACAAGATCGAAATTGTTTATCGACCTCTACGTTGTTGAGAGACTTTTGATCCTGTCTCAGGAAGAAACTTTTGTCGAAAATCTTACAGTATATATAGTCTAAGACCTAACTTACCATCACCCCTTAATTTCTTTCACTCTTCATCACCCCCACTATTTTTCTATCCCCACTTTTCCACTACTATTCTATCAATCAGCGAAGACTTCTTTTTCTCCCACTACTTCGCTAGACAAAGATGAGGTTACTGTTCAACACCAGCTGTCTCTCTCAACGTTGAAGACATTTTCTTAACATGGCAAAGGTAGGGAACGCGCAGTCTATATATTATACGTTTATGGATCGAACTTGATAGCGCGCTAATGGAAAAAGCATATATGTAATACTTCTATAGTGCTAGTACGGTGCCGACCTGAAGCCCAAATGTTACGGTGCAGACAATGGCTGCGTTCGTTTTTTACTGGCAGTACTGCCNAAGTGACGTAATAACAGTGCACTGCCGTAGCCGTTCCGAAATTACTTCAATGCTTCCAGCGCAAATGTCAGGGTGTATAAACGAACGGTGTTACAGTACACT